TTTTTGCGAAAAATGTTCGCCATGAACTATTGGGTTTGTTTCGACATCTTAGCTTAGTAGAAGTTTATTAAACCAAGGAAAGCATGAAACTTACTAATTATTAGTCACAGAAGGTGGTTCTAAATTAGAAATATATATATATATATATATATATATATATATATAATATATATATATATATATATATATATATATATATTATGTATTTTGAAACAAAAAAAAATTAAAAATTAAAATTTACAGGCACATGGGTTGTACATTAATATTTAATTGTTTTATTATTTCAATTAGGTTCCTCGAGAAAATTCGGCCAACATTAATTATCTTCAGGAGAAAAAAATCCCTGCTTGTTAGTAGCAGTGAACTACAGAAGCAAATGACTGTTTCTAAAGAAAGTGAACTTTTCTGTAGTTTTCATTTGTTTTTAGCATTAATTTTGGTCAGTCCTTGTGTTGGTCAAGCGGCCTCTTTTTTTATTTTGTTTTTAAGATAAAGGATGGGAGATTCCTGACTTTAAGTATAACCACCTTTGATCATTTTGACAGTTTTATTGGTTGCTGGGAATGGGATATGTTTGTTTAAGTTATTTTTTATTTTTTAGTTCTTTGTGTGTGTGTGTGTGTGTGTGTGTGTGTGTGTGTTTTTTGATGAGTATGTGTATAAATGTGAGACCTCAACACCTCTGTCTTGTGTGGTTGAGAATTTATATATATATATATATATATATATATATATATATATATATATATATATATATTATATGAAATAACGATATATATTTTTATATATCAAGAGACACTATTGAGTAATTTTTAAGTCAGAGTGGAAAACGTTTATGATTATCGAATTTTTAGACTCCATCGGACTGGGTTTGTTTAAATTGAGAGTTATGATGACTACACCACATGCGCATCAACTAGGAACAAAAAAATGTTGAAACTACCAGCATCTTTCGTTAATGAGCATGTGTAGTCATAACAACGTTAAAATTCCAGCCCGATGAAGTCCAAATAATTGAAAGGCGTCAAAGTAAATCTTTCCATTTTTTTAATGTTGAATATATATATATATATATATATATATATATATATATATATATATATAAGAGAGAGAGTAAATTAAAGAAATAAAGAAAAAAAAGATTTGAGAGAGAGAGAGAGAGAGAGAGAGAATAATATAGACATATTGTGCCTACTTATTTTGATGCTAATCCTTTCCAGTTTTCAATTCACCTTTTTCTTGATGTTAAGATGAAATTCATCAAGGATGGCGCCATAGTTTTCTTTTAAACCCAAGTATTTTTTGATCTTTTCTAAGTTCATTTTCTGGGTCAAAATTACAAAGAAATTAAAATTCTTGCTGGAATTTTTATTAGATGATTACGGACATGGTTTGAGAAATTTTGTTAATAAGTATTTTGTTTTATATTTTTTAGTTCTTTATAAAATGAAATGGAAGAAAAAATTAGGTTAACTCAGATAATCCTTTCTTCATAAGAGGGTTTATTTTTGATTGCATATGCGAAGGTCTTCTGTTTGTTAATTAAGAAGACATGAATAAATGCCTGTGGTTTTTTTGTTTGTTATTTTTTGTTTTTTTTTTTTGTATCGTAGTAAAATTATGTCAAATTCAGTCTACCCAAGCAGCAATTGATTATTTTAAGATGGATAAAAGAAAAAGGAAGAAGAAGAAGATGATGATGATGATGATGATGGAGAAAAAGAAGGAAAGAAGATGATGATGATGATGATGATGATGATGATGATGATGATGAAGAATAAGAAAGAAGATGATGATGATGATCATGATATTTAAAAAAAAGAAGGTGAAGGTAGAGAAAAGATGATTTAAAGAAGATGATGGTGAAGATGAAGAAGATATGATGAAGAAGAAGAAAAAAAACATGATGATGCTGATGATGATGAAGAAGAAGAAGAAAAAGAGAAAGAATAGATGATGATGATGATGATGATGATAGCGATGAAGAAGAAGAAGAGGAAGAAGAAGTTGATGAAGAAGATGAGGAGGAAGAAGAAGAAGATGGTGATGAAAAAGAAAGAGAAGAAGGAAAAAAGTTGGTAATGATAATGATGATGATGATAAAGGAAAAACAATAATGATGATGAAGGAGAAGATGGTGATAAAGAATGTGTGTATGAATTTCAAGGACACATGTCACAGTGGACAAAGGCGTTAGTTAGATCCAGTGACAGGACCCAAGGAGTGTGAGTTCAATACCTGGTTAAGGCAGTGGAGAACTTGGAGAGGAGAATTAACAGGAGATAACTGATAACTTACATTCATTAAAACATGGCACGTGGAACTAGAACGGTCTACCATAGTGAGCGAATTAAAGGGTTCAGTTCGATATTCCAACCACCTGAAGAAGGCCGAAACGTTGTAAAAAATATGGCGACAAAGATGAGAACAATAGTCCGAATAATTTAAATAGTGTACATAATACCTCATCTCAGAAATATAGACAGATACTGAAACTAAACATGTTTATTTTTGAGCAAAATCATTTATTTTTCTAAATTTTAAGATTTTTAAGATTTATTCATCAAAATTTGAATGAGAAAATCAAAGGTATGTGGATTTCATGAACGATTTCAAAAGTTTTCAATCTACTCACTGTCTGTGACACGGAACACGTCAAGTTGGTAGACCAGCTCCTGCCAAACACGTTGCAGCATGTCTTGGGTAACAGTCACTAGTTCGGCGATAAGTTCCTCTAGGCTTGTCTTCTGCAAGTTTCTCTTGCATATCGATCCCAGAATTGCTTGCGCTTTTGATTACCATTTGTCTTTAAGGTCTGAACAAGCTGCAGCTTGTAGGAGGTCATTCGCAAGCGTTTCTTTGCGACACGTCAAATCGTCGTTGGAGAAATCTGGGTTTTCAGATTTACTCTTCTTATGGATTCCTGGGGCTTCGTAAAAATATCCCTCGAACCCGATCGATTATCTGTTTTAATACTGGTGATAATCCATTTTCTCTTGTATAGACAGATTTCCTCTTTGAACTTTTTATGCTATATTCAAATCTACATTGCAGATTATGTCTTTTTAATTAATTCCCGAGCAAATACATGCTCCACAGTTTTGTTCGATCGTGTTCAAGAATACTTTAATACAAAGAGCGCCTTTTCTTTTCTCGTGAATCGCATTTCTATACCTGAAAAATAAGAATAGCGAACATTAAACATAGAATTTTTAGTTGCTTCTACACAGGCTGTTAAAATTTGAGGTTATTTGAACTGGAATTGATTAAGTTATTTGATCACGAAATTACATCAATTCTTCTGAAACATTATATATATATATATATATATAAATATATATATATATATATATATATATATATATATATATATATATCATAATTAAGTAATTCATCGTGTCTTGAAGAAACCTCAACAGAATGCAGAAAGCACTGGACGGCCGTTTCGTCCTATATTTGGGACTCATCAGCAGTGCACATCCACTACCAAGAATTGAAACCTGGACCGTTATGATACGAGATAAACTTCATATCAACAAGCCTCGGTGACGAAGAGGTAGCTAATTAGACTCGATATAGTGCTGCTCGATCACATATTTCGTGGTGGAACTCATCCGAGTTTCCCTTACCCATAGGACTGTGCCCCCACGAGCCACGACTACTATTCCCAAGCCGCTCCATCTAGAACATTACAAGCCGGTTCAAGCAAGGATATACAAATGATAGAAATTATTATGAGGATTTGAGATAATTATAATTAAGTAATTCATCGAGTCTAGAAGGCCGTTTCATCCTATATTTGGGACTCATCAGCAGAATACGAGAATTGAAACCCGAACAGTTACAATATATATATATATATATATATATATATATATATATATATATATATAGGAGGTACGGTGGAGTAGTGGATTGAGGAATCAGAATCGAATTTCAGTCGAATTCCAGTCGAATCCATTACATTCAATTACTGGGAAAGATATTAATCCTCTTCTTCTTCTTTTACAGTTCAAATGACTAGATGTAACCGTAAGTTCTATGCTTACAGTTTCTTCTCTCACACTTCTAGCTTGGAGAACTCTCTTCCGGCTTTTTGCTTCCCAGTCAACATTGATCTTCAAAAATTTAGATGCAATGTTAAATCTTGTGTTATCAGAAATAGATACCGAGAATTGATTATATCAGGAACGCCATTTATAAAAAAAATAAGAACAACACAGGTCGAAATGTAAAGCACTGATGAACAGCTGTATTAAAAGATCAAGAAGAATGGCCATTCAAGACAACTTTCATTTTCCGATTTTATAAGAGAAAATATTATAATAAATATTATAAATAATTTTATATCGTCGACTTTCCCGTCGAATTCGACCTATGAGGGTCAAGCAGATCAGTTCCCAGGAAACCGACAGCACGACAACAGCACATGAGATTTGATTATAGTGGTGAAGGTTTCGTGCAGGACCATCCACACTTTTTGAAGGGCCGAATACAGAGACGTGGTGCACTACGTGCCACAAGGTCCCCAAACAATCCTCCGCAGGTTTTGAATTCAGAGTTGTCCTTCTCCTAGACAATATATATATATATATAATAGCTTTCTTTATATATATATATATATATATATATATATATATATATATATATATATATATATATATATATATATATATACTTTATACAGCTTTATACAAAAAGCACCTGGTTGTTGAAACATGAAAATTTTGGAGACGGAAAGGTGGGAGATCAGAAAACCATCTGTGTGTCACAAATGAAAATTGTTTTGCACAAATCTGCCCCTGGGTACACGTGTCAAAAGAAAATTTGTGGGAAACAGACCGACTATCACCTGTCATTCATCAAAGTCAAAAGTTTATGATATTTTTTTTACAAAAACCAGATTGCATTGTGCCGCTGACACTTCTTCAAGCGAAAGTTCATCATTTCGAAAGGCTTAACTAAAATGACGAAATGGTTTTTTATTAAAAAAAATAAAGATCGGAAACAACAGTCATCAGTATTTTCATATCTATATATCTCAAATATTTTCTATCTATCTATCTATCTATCTATCTATCTATCTATCTATCTATGTCTTCGCATAAAGATCTATCTATCTATCTATCTATCTATCTATCTATCTATCTATCTATCTATCTATCTAAGTCTGCTCATATCTATCTATCTCACTTTGTTTATATCTATCTATCTATCTATCTATCTATCTATCTATCTCAGTTTGTTCATATCTATATATCTCATTTTGTTCATATCTATCTATGTTCATATCTATCTATCTATCTATCTATCTATCTATCTATCTATCTATCTATCTATGTCTTCGCATAAAGATCTATCTATCTATCTATTTATCTAAGTCTGCTCATATCTATCTATCTCACTTTGTTCATATCTATCTTAGTCTGTTTATATCTATCTATCTATCTATCTATCTATCTATCTATCTATCTATATCTTCATGCTTTCTTTGGTGTTTCTAATTTTCAATGTCGTCTACCTAAGTGTCGGTAGGTAAGAATTCTGATCAGAAAACAACACGACAGGGTTGATTGAATCCAACGCCGACAGAAAACCCGATTGTGACTGAAAACGGAACAGCCATGTTAAGACTAATCTATAATAATAAAGCGCAGTGTACGTGTGTCCGTCCGTCTCTCTGTTTTTTTTTATGCCGATGAATCATGAGTAATCTGAAGTATTCTACGTTTACCTCCTTTGTCAAGAAATGATATCTACCTTCGCTATAAAAACAGAGAATGTATGAATAGGGGAGATTTTAAATTCCATGCGTCAACGTCAAAACAAACACTTAAAAACTGCATCTTCTTTCTTTCCCTCTCCTGTAATTTAATACATTAAATTACGCCAGATGTTATCAGAAATAACTTACGCCACATCGTGTCCGAAAGTAAAAAAAAAAAAAATGTTGCCACGAAAAAAAAAAAAGCCACTGGAATATACAAGTGGACTTGTAGCATCCCGGTACCACTTTCTTATCAATGTTGAAATTTGTACAAATCTGTGCAAAAAGTAGATCAGAGAGCCTACGCAGCTTAGTAAATATTTTTCAGAAAATATCAGCTTCTAATTGGTCAATAAACACACAAGTTGGCGTGGCGACAAAGATGAGGACAATAGTCCGAATAATGTAAATAATGTACATAATACCTCATCTCAGGAATATAGACAGATACTGAAAGGCCGAAACGTTGTAATAAATATGGCGACAAAGATGAGGACAATAGTCCGATATTGTAAATGGTGGGTTTTATTTCATAGTAGCCTAGCGGACTTTAGCCTAGCTCCTGTGGAGGGCTTTTGGGCCATCGGCCTTTTACCTTCAGCGTCCTATGTACGTAAATGTTATAGACATTTAGAAATAATAAAATTATATATCTTTATTCAACACCATAATTCGGCATAATCTTTCTTCGTATACGCAATCGATCTCCGTAGTTTGTTCACATTTATTTTGCGCGCATTTTTTTTTCGTTTAAAATCATCATTTTTTATGATCCTTTCACATAAAGTCACTCTTAAAAGACATTAGGGAACCCAAACTATTTCGAATACGTCACAGAATGCGTGCTAGAAAAAGAAAAAAAAATACATATGAGCAACGTACCGTGCCCTGCGAAAGTTTTAATTACGGTTCAATATCAATTGAAATTAGGACGCAAAGTGAAATTAAAGTTAAAACTTTAATAAAGAATTGTTTTTTTAAACGTTTCACCCTGTCCTATATTTAAATTTAACATTAAATGAGTTATTTTAATTAATTCTTAATCGTCTATAACTACAGTAATTACGACCTGTTGTGGCGTAATTAAACTGTATTAAATTACAGGAGGGGGAAGAAGAGAAGATGAAGTTTTAACTGTTTATTTTCACGTCCAAACTCGTTAACGTATAGAATTTAAAATCTTCCCTCTGTATTTATGCTCCGTTTTTATAGCGAAGGCAGATACCATTTCTTGACAAGGGAGGTAACCGTGGATTACTCCTCCCTCCTTTTTTAAGTCCTTTCAATATGAAACTTTATCAAGAGTTCGAGCGTTGCGACCATATTTAGTGTAATCTGAAGGCTGGTGCCATTGGCGATCGGCTTTTCAATTTCAGTCATTTGGGTTTTGTGTTGATCCCCTGACAATTTAGCTGGACTCGATTTCTCCGAGTAACTGACATCCGAAACTGGCCTTGAGTGACACTGCAGTGCAGTGTATTGGAAATTTGTAGGTTGGAGACTTTTGTTGATGATGTCTGTTCAGTTCTTTGCCTTAGGCGAAAGTTATTTCGTTGTTGAATTTCACTGTCTTAATTAGAACAAACCTTGGTGAAGCAGTTTTTACAACGATTGCTGGTTAAGTTCTTGGTGTTTTTACCGGACGTATAATATTTTCTTTTTCTAAACGCTGTAACCCTTCTTGGACTTCTTTCTTCACGGGAAGTGGTAAAGGTTGAAGAGTTGCTTTCTTATAGAAATTGGTTGCGTAGACTCTTTTTAAAAATATTTGATATATATTCTGGAGTCTACCAATGCCTATCGAAAGTCCTGGAAATTATTTTCTATATTTGTGGTCGTGAATTTTTATAGAAATCACCCTCCTCAGTGGATTAAGAGATTTTATTACTGATAATTTTTATCTGGTGGTAACCTGATGCATACAGTTGTTTGTTAGATTTTTTTTAATAATTGGGCAGTTTTTCTAAAATAAATACTGGGGACTCCCGTTAAATCTTGTTGTATCCTTAAAGAGATTACAAACAGACAAAGGTGGTACTCGAGTGAAGGAACGGCAACACGCGCGTAGATGAAAGAAGAGAGAATACACTACTGAAAGACAGGGGAATCGGGTGGCAGGCTAGTAATTCCTGAATTTACCTTACCCCCACCGCGCGTGGCAGGATGTAGCACAAGTCCTTTTTTAATGCGGGGTTAAACCGAGCCCGTAAGCTGGGGCAAAAATTCCCGTAGACCCCGTCAAAACGGGGTCAGGTAGCTGTCTACCACCCCAGACGAGACTCTGTCCGTCGGCATAGCCTCGTCTGGATTCCTCTCTGCCCGAAGGCGGACAGTTCGACCAGCACCGCTGGAGATGAATCTCCAACTAATTGCCGAAATAAGGTTATTTATCTTACCACCCCACGAGGCAGGATGTGGCACAAGGTCTTTTTAGTGCGGGGTAAAACCGAGCCCGTGTGCTTAGGCAAAAATTCCCGTAGACCCCGTATACACGGAGTCGGGCAGCTGTCTACCACACCAGACGAGGCTCTGCCCTTCGGCATTGCCTCGTCTGGGTTCCTCTCTGCTCGAAGGCACAGACTTCAACAAGCACAGTTGAAGACGAATCTTCAACTAATTGCTGAAGTAAGTATATTTGCCAACCGCCCCACGCGGTCAGATGTGGCACAAGGTCGAATTTAACGTAGGGTATCTGAGCCCGTAGGCTCAGGCCAAAATTCCCTGTAGAGCCCGTAAAATACGGGGTCGGGTAGCTGTCTACCTCCCCAGACGAGACTCTGCCCTTCGGCATAGACTCGTCTGGGTTCCTCTTCGGCCGAAGGCAGAGTGTTCGACTAACTTAGCTGGAGACGATTCTCCAACTAATTACCGAAGTAAGTTCGCCAGGTATCTCCTGTGCTCACTATATATAGCTACTAATATAGCCAGTCCACATAGGTGATAGGGAGTGTGGGACATTCCATTACAGCACATCTGCTCCAGTATCTAATTTGAAGCTACATAGCTTTCTAGTAACTTGCCAGACTTCTTCTGTGACCGCTTTAATTCTATCGATAGTCATAAAAGACCCAAGAACGTGGATTATGGTTATTCCTCCGTCATTTTTAGAATTTTAGACCTGCCAGTTCTACAGTTTTTTTTGCAAAATGTCCATTTCTTGAACATTTTCGACAAACTGCATTTTTAGCTAGAAAATCATTTTGAGTGTCAGATGGAATATTGCCACATCGTATTCATTTATTTGTACTTCTTTTATGGCCGACTGTATCTTGGGGCTTCTTTTTTATATTTCTTTGGTGTTACTCTGCTAACGTTTGTTTCTGTTGCATTTGTGCCTCAAGAAACATTTTGAGTTTGTTGCTTGAAAGTTTCACAGACTCTGCCTATGTCTATACATTTGTCTACCGTAAGCCTTTTATCCTTTAAAAACTCCTATTTGATGCTGAATTAGCCTGTCTTGAATCCCCCCCCACCCAAATTGCAGCATTTTGCTAACTACCGTAGCACAACGACATATTCCTCTATACTCTTTGAAGCTTCTTGTTTTCGAATAGGTTTTCGTACGCTTCATGAGTTCCTCTAAGAAAAAATACTTTGAATTTCGTTATTACAACTTCGTATTCGCAGGAAAAGGGAAGTGTAGAGAGGAGAAAACAGCAATGTTGTGTCTGCTATTTATAATTGGTGTTATCACGTGACAGGCTCACAGAAAATGGCGGAAAAACTTGACTTGGTCACGCGCTCGAAAATATTTGTACGTGGGTCGATTGAAACGCCAACCACCTGAAGAAGACCGGAGCATACAATGGCCGAAACGTTGTAATAAATAATGCGACAAAGATGAGGGAAATAGTCCGAATAATGTAAATAGTGTACATAATAACTCATCTCAGAAATATAGACAGACACTGAAAGGCCGAAACGTTGTAATAAATATGGCAACAAAGATGAGGACAATAGTCCGAATAATGTAAATAGTGTACATAATACCTCATCTCAGAAATATAGACAGATACTGAAAGGCCGAAACGTTGTAATAAATATGGCAACAAAGATGAGGACAATAGTCCGAATAATGTAAATAGTGTACATAATACATCATCTCAGAAATATAGACAGATACTGAAAGGCCGAAACGTTGTAATAAATATGGTGACAAAGATGAGGACAATAGTCCGAATAATGTAAATAGTCTACATAATACCTCATCTCAGAAATATAGACAGATACTGAAATAAAACCCATCAGTAAAGACAAGTTAGGCGTCTCCTTCTGGTATATGAGCCGGTCTAGCTAAGTAGCAATACTGAGTTCTTGTGGCTTTATAACAACCTAAGCTTAGTAAAGTAACAACCAATGTGAATTATTATATTATTATAGATTTCTTTTCTTAATTTTCTTGAAAGGCTTTCGGTACAGAGTTTCTAAAATTGTCGATATCGACCCCTGGGGTGAATGAGACTATCCAGGGAACCGATAAACGCCTTAGGGTAGGAAAAAAAAAAAAGGAATCGACTGAAGCACCTAGAATTCTTTTCTTATTATGTTAGCCCCCCCCCCCGGGAAAGCCGAAAACGCCACAAAGACGCAAGGTTTTAGTGAGAGTGAAATTAAATGAGAAAACCAACGTTTCTATTTTTTTTTTTCAAAAGACGATTCCAATGGCAAGAGAATTGTCTCTTGAGTCCCCGGATGATACTTTCATATTATCTAGACTTTCTTTATTGCACTCTGTTTGGTATCAGTTTTTCCTTTATCGCTCCCTTTCTTCATAAGACTATAATAAATCTCTCTTTCACCCTCACCATTCATTTGCGTAAATCTTTGGATTCCGGAATTATAATGGCTTAATCATTCTAATGTTATTGATATTGCCGGTATTAGACTTTTAATTATTCCGTTGTTCAGGCTCTCGATCAAAAAATAAATTTTCCTACTCGTTTCTGGGGTGGTAGCACCTGTTCGGGTTCTAGCTATAGACAAATAGTTAATGTCCAAACTGGAGTGAAAAACACTATGAAAGTACAAACATTTTATACTAAAATTACCAGCAATACATTTTCATAGTAAAAAAAAATTACCAGCAATAGATTTTTGTAAAAGAAACTACTAATGTTCACAAGGAAATTAAATTAATGCATTAAATAACCCATAAGGTGTTGATATGAGGCTAAGCAGTGAAATAAATTAAGAATAAATACACGTTTCACTAATAATTGTGATCGACATACTTCTTTTTTTGATTTGTTCCTTACCTCCTCATCTAACTCTTGTCGAGCATCACAACTGTGTCCTCTTGGCAATTCGGATCAAGCTATAGTATCTGTTAATATTTCTTTTGAATCGTCTGTTAGATAGGAAGCTCCTATTCACTTTTTTTCTGTTACCAGCGTATTGGTCGGTATTCATTTTGTAATTTTTATCCCGACGCCCCTTTGTAGTGAAATTTTCAATCTTCCAATTGAGAATTGTGCCATTGAGGTTTCTTCTTGAGTAAAAACTGGGATCAATGCTTTTATGCGATCTCAGAAATACCAGGAGAAAACCATAATCCTCTTGGTCCAAACCTGCCTGTTCAGCCGCTATAGCCCGCAGGAATCACTTTTTACTGGTTGTACTAACGTGATAATTCCGATCACAACAGAGGCCTCTCAGTGTCGACTCGGAATAATTGCAAGCGTGCCCTGAAAGAGGCTAAGTGTTTGTTCGCTGACAGAAGGAGGAAGTACCGTATATCCTCTAACATGTTTGGTTCTCGTGATTACTGGCGGCTCTCTAAGTGTAATACCGCCATCTATCCTCTCTTCACTTAATTTGAAACGCATGCGTACCAGTCAGAATGCCAAACGGGACGCGGTTTGTCCCTGACTCCTGGAAAATGTTATTGCCTCTTGTCGTGACATGCTCCAAGGAACACAGGAATTTTCTCAACTAAACAAGTTTAACACGGTCTAGGTAATTTATTTTTGAAATATGGAATCGGAGGTGGGGGGAGCAAAGAGTCTCTTAGTTATGGGAATGGGAAAAAGATTAGGCGTGTAGTGATTGGTGTTGGCAAGCCGGAAGTGAGAACGGAGAAAGTAAGTCGACAAAGTAGTGGACAATAAAATGTCGAGGAAATTTCATAACTGGTTTTATATTTCTTTCTTTTAAGGTTTTTCTCTCCTCTACTTCTTTCTTTCTTTCTTTTATTTTCTCAATGTCTTTTCTTTCTTTCTTTCTAGTTTATATTTCTCTCTCTATCACTTCTTTCTAACGTTTTTCTAGTTTCTACTTCATATCATTTTTTTCTCACTCTTTATTGCTTCTTCCTCTTTTCTTTCTCTTTTCTTTCTTTTTCTATTTCACTTTCTTTTTTGTCCCTTTTCCTTCTCGCAAATTTTTCTTTCTTTCTTTCTTTTTTGCTTCCTTTCTTTCTTTCTTTCTTTCTTTCTTTCTTTCGACTTTATTTTCTGTCTTTTAAAACGTATTAGTTTTTCTATAGTTTTTAGCTTATTTCGCTTTCTCTCTTACTTTTCCACTTCTTTCTTTCTTTCTTTCTTTTCTTGGATATGTTTCTTTCTTTCTTTTATTTCACAGGTCTCTTTCTTTCTTTCTTTCTTTCTTTCTTTCTTTCTTTCTTTGACATGTTTTTTTTCTCTTCTTGCAAGTTTTTCGTTTTTTCTTTCTTTCTTCATAGTTTATTTTTCTCTCCCTTTTACTACTTTCTATTTTTGCATTTCCTTATTTTACTTTTTCTTTCGCTATCTCTCTTCCACTCATATCACTCTCTCCATATATATATATATATATATATATATATATATATATATATATGAAGATGAGGAGTTATTTCTTTCTATTTCATTTTTCCAGCGTTTGTTGGAGCAAGGAACTACAAAAATTCCACATAATTTTTATTGCCTCAGAAAATGAAAATGAACTTTTTCAAAATGGTCGCTTGGGACAATGAAAATTATTTCTTTTCTCCTCCAAGACAGACAAACGTAAGGTCGCTAGAAAAACTAAAATTTTAACTTTTTGTTAAAACAAACAAAATTTAAAGAGTATTTTATAATGTCTAATGGAGCTGAACATTATTTTTTATGTTTAGATGCATTTAAACTGATCAAATTTTATTTCAGAGAACAATAAAATTAAATTTTGTTTGATTAAAACCCTGCTAACATGGAAGTACCCAAGAATCATTTGAGGCACATAATGCTTTATGAGTTCAAGAAAGGAAACTCAGCAGCCGAAGCGGCTAGAAACATTCACTCAGTTTATGGAGAGGAATGTGTGAATGAAAGAACTTGCAGAAGATGGTTTGCAAAATTCAGAGGTGGAGATTTCACCCTTGAAGATGAAGATCGAACCGGACGTCCAGTTGAGTTTGATGAAAAGTTTCTTGAAGCAGCCCTTGAAGAAAATCCTGCTTTATCAGTTGAGGAATTGGCAGTGGTTCTCAGTTCAAACCATACAACTGTTCATCGTCATCTTCAACAACTTGGAAAAGTTCCTAAACTTGGAAAATGGGTGCCTCATGAATTGTCTGAAAACAACCTCAAATCCCGAGTTGACATCTGCTCTTCTCTCCATTCTCGCCAACTTGTTTCACCTTTTTTGGATAGACTTGTGACTGGCGACGAAAAATGGATTTTTATCGAAATGTTAAGCGTCGTAGACAGTGGCTTGGTAAGGGGGAAGGACCCCAGCCACAGACGAGAAGGGAACTTCATGGGGAAAAGGTTCTTCTTTCAACCTGGTGGGATCGCCAAGGAATAATCCATTTTGAATTCTTACCACCTAATGCAACAATTAATGCTCAAATATACTGTCAGCAATTAGAGCGTTTGAACCAAGCATTGAGGAAAAAATGACCTGCTTTAGTGAATCGAAAAGAGGTGATGTTTCATCAGGACAATGCGCGGCCACACACAGCAAGAATCACGTCACAAAAGATCGAAGAACTTGGTTGGGAGAAAATTCCTCATCCATCTTATTCTCCCAATCTTGCTCCTTCAGACTACCATTTGTTTCGTAGCTTACAGAATCATTTGGAAGAAACAGCTTTTGTAACACAGGAAGAGGTTAAAACTGACATTTGTGAGTTCTTCGAATCAAAGCCAAAAAAAATTTTACAGTAATGGAATTAGTAAACTTGTTAATAGATGGAAGGAAGTCATAGATAATCAGGGAAAATACATTGTTGATTGAATCTGTAATTAAATGTAACATTTGGTCACTTGTTTTCTTTATTCAAAATTCGGACAGAACTTATGGGATGACCTGATATATATATATATATATATATATATATATATATATATATATATAAAATATAGAAAAAATGAAGTAAAAGATAAAAAATCCGAGATAATTCTTTTTATTTTTTTTTAAAAAAAATATATTTATTAAAAATTAACAGAATTAATATTATAAATTAATTGATATAAAAATATTTTTTTTTTAAATGTTTATTCTTTCATATATGTTTTATTAAAATAGAATAAAAATTTATGAAATTAATATTTGAACATTATTTGTCTATGAAAAAAAATTTTTTAGTTTATAAATGAACAATTTAATTTACAAGAAAAACAATAATAAAAAAAAAAAGATTTTTAAATTACTTTAAAAATTTAAAAAATCTAAAAATTAACTGAAAAGAGTTATGTAACAAAAAAAATTATTGATAGAATTCTATAAAAATAAAAATTAAATATTTTTTTGCTCAAGAAAATAAGCATTTTTTTTAAAACAAACCTAAAAAATATTTTAAAAATTCATTATATATGGATTTTTTTTAAACGCGAAATGTGAACATTTATGATCCGAAAAAAAAGATAAATTTCATTTTTTGATTTTTTAAATGTTTCTATATATAAATATATATATATATATATATTTTACAAACACATATATATATATATATATGTTTATGTATTTTTTTTTTTTTAATTTATCTTTCTTTCCCAATAAAAGCAATTTATAAATTTTATAGTCCATTCTATCTTTTTAAATGATATCTATCTATATAAAAAAAAATCTATTATCTATCTATCTATCTATCTATTTCATTATTTGAATAATCTTAAAAATTTGATTTTATTAAAAGTCACAATTCATTATTTAAAATCTATTAATGTATATTATTTATAATATATACAATATATTTATTATATATAAAAATGAAAATTTTAAATTCCGTTTTTCGATTCAGAAAAAAAAAAGTTTTCCGTGCCTCTGTAATTTTTTTGAATTATTTTATCTTTAAATAAAATTCTTTTTTTTCAACTTTCGAATATCTAAAATTTTCTTGTTATGGAAAATAATTCCATTTAAAACTTAACTTTAATCACATTCATAATCAAACTGAAGACATACCCATCTAAGATACTAATTTTTTTAAACAATCAAATAAATTCTATAAAATTATTTCCTGTATTTTATTGTTTTTAAAGAAACGTTCTTTTCCGATATTTCTTCATTTAAAAAAAAAAAATTCAAAAAATAAAAAATATATTTATAAAAATTATAATAATTAATTTAATTTTTTGAACAACTGTTTAAATTAAAATTTCTAAAAACATTTTTTTTAACGTTATTACATTTTTTCTTTTTGGGAAATTGATAAAAACAATAAAAGAATATTTTATCTATTAAAAAATATAAACAAAGAAATTAAATTGGATTATTTTGAATTTTGCATGCATTATGTATTTGAAAACAAAAAAAAGTATTTTCTCGAGACATTGTAAAAAAAATTTTTCGTTTTTTTAAATAATACGAAAAGAATATACATAATAAGCAATTTCATAAAGAATAAAAAAAAATTTGAATCTTTATACCAGGTATTTTGTTTTAAAACGTTAAAATGTCTTTTTTAAACTTAATTTTTTTTTTTAGTTTTTTTTTTTTTCTTTAAAACTTTTTAGGAAAATATTATATATATATGTTATATAGGAATTATTTATTATGTTTTATCTGTTGATTTTTGAACATAATTGGAAAATATAGAAATATAAAAACAGGCGATAAATTTTTGAATTTATAAATATTATTATATTTAAAAAACCATATAAAGATGTTGGTGACGGGTCTAAACTAGATAAGCCATTTCAATATTTTATTTTTTTTCTGGTTACTATACGGATTGGATTTTTTCATGTCTTATCATATTCATTAGAATATTTTTCATTATTCGGATCAATATTTTTTTTATTAAGTTTAAAGATTACAAGGAGAATCAAAATTGCTTGTGCGTGTGATATTCAACTGTGTCTGGTTTAAATTGTTCATAGAAAGAGGCATATTTGCACCAAATGTTTAAAATATTTTCTTTACAACGATTTTCATTTGAAAGTAACAACGAAACATTATTTGACAACAAAAAAAAAATTTCTAAAATTATTTTTGGCTTTTTATTTTAAAAAATTTTGCATTATTTTAGAAAAATAAATATGAAAAGGACTCATTTCAATAAATGAAATATTGATTTCATACTTTAGGCACGACATCTTTTAGATTTATTTATTCTCTGAATATAAATGTATAGAAGAACTGTAAAAGCAAATGAAGGATCAGTTTATATATTGATTATTTATATATCTAATTTATCCTAGAAATATCCATCATTCGAAATTTCTTGAAAACGGAAAATATGAATTTAAAACAAAATGGAAGATAGCATTACATAATAAAATATATCGTTATATATTGAAAATATCAGCTGACCTGAAGTGGAAAAGACTAGGATTGAATAAAATTGACATAGTTATCAGCTTTTTTAATTAAAAATTTGGTTCATTGTAATTGTGCTGACAATTTTTAAATTTCAAAATTATTTTTGCATATCTATAAGTCTATTATTCTTCCATGCTTAGAATATTATTTGGTCTTATATGGTCCGGTATGATTTAATCAATTTTCTTTAAAAAATGAAAAATAAAGAATCAGCATTATTATTAGTTTTGACCTTTTTTAATCGTTCAGAAAATTTTTCCATTTTCATAAATAAATGTTGCTCTCCTGTAAATTTTTTTTTATAAATACTTCCATGATGATTGTTCGGTTTATTTGATATTAGCTAACTTTAAAACCTAACTATTTTTTTTTTAATTAAGAAATGAAAATGAAGATTTTGATAAATAGATTGGAATTATAATATGAACTTTCTTTTTAACATGAAATATAAAAACATGAAATTATCAATCATAGATCCAGTTTTTTTATAAAAAAAAGAAACATAGAAAAATTCTCATCAGAAATTTTAAACATATGATTTCAATAAAGCATGATTGAATTTTTTAACATTAAATGCCAAACCAAATTTTACGTTAAATCAAACAAACTCTTTTTTTTTATCTATTTTTATCTTCCTATTTTATATTTTTTTAATTTTTTTTAAAATCTTTTTATTCTTTTCAAGAAACTTTTTTCATCTTCTTTACATCTTCTTTTAATTTTCTTTTTTAAAATGAAAAAATCCTCAAAAAAATGTTAAAAAATTGATAAAAAGATGAAAATAGTTAAAATTTATAAATGATAAAAAAAAAAAAAAAAAAATTTTTTATTTTCAAAAAAAAAAATCATTACATTAAATAAAAAAAAAAATATATTATAAAATTTTTTTTGACTTTAAATCTTTTTTATATCTAAAAATCTTCTTTTCATTTCTATTCATTTTTTATTTCATTATATTTTCAGTGATTTTTTATCGAAAATTTTCATCCTCTTGTTTTAAATCGTTTTTCATCTAACATCTTTTTTCATTTAAATCATCTTTTCATTTTCTTTCATCTTCTTTTAAAAATATTTTTTCATCAATTTTTCATCTTTTTTCATATTTTATCTTCTTTCATCTTATTTAAATCCTTTTCATCATCTTTTCATTTTTTCATCTGATTTGAAATCTTCTTTTTTAATTTCAACAAAAAAATTTTTTTTCATCAAGTTTTCATCTTATTTTTATAATTCTTTTTATCGTATTTTTTACCTTTTTTTTATCTTCTTTTTTATCTTCAAACGTTTTAAAATATTGAAAAAAAAAAAAAACAATATTAAATTCAATGTCCAATGTTCAATGTCATTCATTTTCTTGATTATTGAATTTAAATACCCATTTGTTCCTGTAGACATCCTTTATTTATAGGAATCCAGAAAATCAAATTACATTTATTTTTCATATTTTTTAAAATTTAACCATTAACAAGTCTGAAAAAAACACTTGAAGCAAGGGTTTACAGAGTGAAAGTACGTGAAATTGAAAAGAGGGGGATTGAGGAAAGGACAATAAAATAATGATGACAGAAGATGGCGATTGACGTGGCATTTAAATTTTTGAAGATTGTAGCTATCAGGGAAGCAAGGAAACGGAAGGAAGTTCCACAGGATGGGAAGTGCGAGAAAAGAAACTGTTGGAGTAGAAGTGGCGGTTACATTTAACTATTTCAACAGTAAAAAGGATGGGACCTAGATGCCAATCTAGTAATGCTTAAATCATGTAGTCGGGACACCAGGGAAAAATTCGTCAGAAGAGCAGTTGCCATGAAAATATTTGTAGAAAAGACAGGGGAAGCCACATCACGTCTGTGAGAAAGTGACTGAACTCGAGATGCCAGGTCAGGATCGATTACATTGCAGATCCTTCTTTGGATTTTGTCAAGAACCTCGAGATGAATAGCAGGAGCACCAGACCAGATATGGCAACAATATTCAATGCACGGACGAATGGTAGATTTGTAAATGTGCAAGATGGACTCTGATGAGAAAAAACCTTCTGACACGACACAGTGACCCAACTTTCCTTGCAGTAGATGCTATTATTTTCGATGTAGTCGTTCACCTTCAAGTCAGTTGAAAACATGAGGGCCAAGAAGGCGCAGTGTATTGCTTTTTTCATGAGTCTAGTAAGTTCCATGCTGATGGTGGACAGAAAATTTTCTCTATGGTGGTAAGATGAGAACAGTTTGTTTTGGAGGCATTCAAATTTACAATTCAGGTCATTTTCTGTCCAAGTTAACCTTCTCAAGAGCAGCGACCAGGTAAACTTTGTCAACTTTGACGGATTTGCTATTGAGACAGGAACAAATGGTAGTGTCATCATCATAAATGCTTACTTGGGAACTGATGACATCAGGAAGATCATTGATGAAGAACAGTAACAATGTAGGACCTTGGGGGACTCCCGTAAGGCAAATGCTCTATGGAAGAGTTTTCCTTTAATTTGTCGATGAAATCTGAGAGAAGTCTTCTCTAAGACTATGAAATGAAAATATGACAATTCCAATATCCAAGAAACTTTTTTTTATTACTCTTTAATGCTATGGCATTGTATCTCTTTCCCAACTCTTTATACCTTTATCCATTCTTTCACTATCAGCTCATTGTTTTTCTTACTTCTATGTAAAAAGAAGACTCAGACGTGAACAATAAAAATCATAGGACTGATGCCAAAATATGGACTTCTTACATAGTGATATGTCCTGGAAAGGGATATATTTGTTCGAAGTAGCAAAATGATTGTTGACTACTGTAACCGGGTAGGACAATCTAGCAGGTAACGTAATGGACTGGTTCTCGTCGTAGTGGTAGGCAATAGGCGTAGGCAATAGGCGTAGGCAATAGGCGTCGTCCTGTACCTCCACATCAGTCTGTATTTATGGCTGACACCAGCCAATCATATTACTGTGAGGGGGAAGCCTAGGTGTATGCATATTCATTACATCACATAGGTGCGAAAACTTTGATCTCAAACTTTTTCAAAAATCTATTTGTAAATGTGCAAGATGGACTCTGACGAGATACAACATCTGGCACGGCACAGTGACCCAAATTTCCTTGCAGTAGATGCAGCTATTGATTCAATGTAGTCGTTCCACTTCAGGTCAGTCCAAAACGTGAAATAGAAAATAGAACGTGATACCAATTTTAAAAAAATATCAGAAATAAGTAAACCCTATCGTCGTCACATCATTTTCGATACTTTCAAATTATCCCAAGTACTTTGGTCGAAGTAATATGCTGGATCTGTTATGGTATAATGGACAATGGCGAGTGACTTGGCGTTTTCCATCTCCTAGTGATGTCCTGGGTATGACGATAGACTACATCCGGGTCCTGGGTAAGCCGATAAACAACGTCCAGCAGCAAGGCCTTTG